GCATCTGAGGGGAGTATTCCATCCCTGGTTTAGCTTAGCATGCACAGGGGTTCTTGGACTGCTTCAGAATGTGGAAAACACTTTGAGATAATGGACACCCCCGCCCAAATGCTTCCACTTGTGGGCCTGAGGATTGCCTTTCAGATGATAAGCCACAAGCTCCTCCAAACTTGGAGGAGCCTCAGAAACCTGTGTGGATCACAGAGGTTGCGCAGGAGGATAGGCCTCTGTGTGGAGGCTCCATGCCTACCCACTGGTTCTGTGTCCCTCCTCCCTAGCAGCATGGAGACATCAGAGCCACAGTACCATGGACTCCCGCTGGCTTGCTATCTGGCCTTTTCTGGGAAATCTCAATGGGACTGAAGTGGAGGACGATGTGCGTCCACACCTGTCCTTCTCCCCACCTTAAGTCTCCCCAGTCCCCTCTCTCATTCCGATCCCAACCCTGCAGAGAGCCCACCACAGGCTACAATGCAGAGGACACTGCCATAGAGGTGGCAAAGCACCTTTTTGTGCATAGGGAGTGAGATTCATGCATAGAAGGGCCCGTCTGCTCTTGGATATTGGCCCATTTTGCCTGAGAGAGTGACGTGGTCACCACCATTAGTTACTCAGTGAGGCCCCAGTGCAGCAAAGTGTTTTGCTGAGGAGGGATGAGATTGTTATTATTTATTACGTTTATTTTGGTAGCACCTAGGCACCAATCCCCATTGTGCTCGGCACCGTACAAACACAGAGTAATAGACAGTCCCTGCCTCCATAGATCTTACCATCTAAATAGACCAAACTGACAAGGGATGTACAATACAAGCAGAGAGAACAGAGGAATGGTTTGCAAACATCATGTTAGCGCCAGAATTTTTTTGGATTTTTGCGGTGGTATTTTGCTGGGAGGCGTTAGCTAAACTTAGCTAAACAGAAAGACAAAGGAAGGGAGAGAGGATATTGAAGGAAGTGGGCGAGAAGGCCAGGATTGGGGGGGGGGAAGGGTGGGGCAGGGAAGGGGAGAAGTGGGAGGGGAGGGAGAAGAAAGCTTTGAGGATTGTTAAGGTTACGCATGTATTTAAATGCTTTGCTGAATCAGGGCCATCATGCCTTTTCCCACTGGCAGTGTCATGCTGAAAGATCAGTCTCTGCTTGTTCTGTGATTACAACATATTATGACACATCAATCTAGCATTGCACCCACTGTCTTCCCACACTGTACTTCAAGTGTAGAAATTTTGTCAAGTATGTACTTTAAAAATATAATCAACAGTGAGCCGCTTCATATTTATTTTTAAAGGTGAAATAACTTTCACCAGACAAAGACTTCATATAAAGAATCTAGAAAATCTGTATGGCCAAATTGTACAGGTATACTCTCTATGGAAGGTTTCAGAGTAGCAGCCGTGTTAGTCTGTATTCGCAAAAAGAAAAGGAGTACTTGTGGCACCTTAGAGACTTACAAATTTATTTGAGCATAAGCTTTCATCTATGGGTAGATCTTTATGAATGAGAAATATACTAGCACAAACAAGATTCCACAAAAAAGCCTTTCAAGGCTTGATCCCACAAATACTCAAGCATGTGTCCAACTTTATACATCTGAATAGTTTCATTAGCTTCAAGGGAGCTTTATTTCTTTGCAATAATAAATTAAATTTAGTCTTAAGTGATTCAGTCAAATCTCATTTTCCATTTCAAATGTGCTGTTACCCTCCTGAACTCTGACTGCCTCAGTGTTCCTGCCTTTCTATTGATTCTCATTGTTTCTAATGTTCAGATAAAATAGCATTATCTTTAATTGTATTAATACAAAAAGCGTCACCACTATGACCATCAGATTTCACAGAAGAACACTGCATATAGCTACAAGGTTCAGATTTTTTTTTTCCAATTTTGTCTTTGATTTAGAGACTAGGGACTGATTCTCTTCTCACTCAAGGCTTGTCTATACAATGAGTTACTGTGCAGGAAGCCAGAATATGAATCCACAGTACACTAGCTTGCCACACACTAACTGGCCATGTAGACCCTACTTCCACTCACTAAAAGTTCCCTGCTGTTTGAAACGGGAGTATGTCAAAGTGCACTATAGAACTTTTAGGGAAGCTAGTTAGCATGCTGCAAACCAGTGCACTGTAGATTCACATCCTGGCTTGCTCTGCACTAACAGGCCATGTAGACAAGCCTATACACTTCTGTGAATCCAGAGTAACTCCCCCTAAAACAATGGAATTATTCTGATGTGAAACCAGTTTAAGTGTGAGGAAAAACAGCCCTTCGAAAAACAAAGGTTTCTAGTTTGGAAACAAACTTCTGCTGCATTGCTTCAAAGGCCATTAAAACTGCATTTAATGCAATCTCTAAAGAGGCATCTGTTCTTGAAGATTCCCCAAGAGATAATACAATATATGGTATACGGGAGAATTTGTAATTCCAGTTGTTGAACTCAGGAGAGTTTCCTTTCCTTGTTATACCTGAGCTGGCCTTCAAAAAGATCTTCCAGTGATTTATTCTGTTGGTTTCGTTTTGGAGCCTTTATAAGAAAACAGAATTAAATTACCCCCTCAAAACTGAAACCTAATAACCTTTCACCAAATTAAACAAGGTTGCCTGCAAAATCTTACACTTTTTTACTTCAGGGGGTAAACCACATTAATTATAACTTGGTTGTTCCAATTTCCCCATACATGTTGAATGGGGTTTAGAATCTTTTAACAAGCAGAAAAATGCATGCCACAGAACTATTCCAACATCTGCTGCAATGAAGGAGGGTGCAACGTTAGTAATTTAAAAGAAAAACCCTCATGGGTGTAGAGAAAAGCTTGAAATGTGAACCCCAAAGGCTCAAAACCCAGAAGGCAAACAAAACAAAACAAAACTTATTTTTTAAATCTCATGATTTATTTTGGAGGCTTGACTTGTGATTTTTGCATCTTGTGGTTGGAAAACTAGAGCGGCTAGCACCATTGTTTCCTGCTACAGGACAGGAGTCTTCTTCATTTACAGGGCTCAGCTTCCCCTTGGAAATCACAGGGCCATAATGGGAAGCAGCTAGATCAGCAGGCACTGCTGAGGGCAGGGAGCCTTTGCTTTCACAGAGCTCCTTGCCCTCTGCAAGCAGTGCCCTGGAGGCGATTACTGAGGGATGCTAGAGCAACACTCCCCAGCTGAGGGCCTTAAAAGGAGAAATCTCTCAATAGTGCATTGATCGGTTTATTTTTCATGAACAGTTCAACTATATTAGTGCAAGCTGATTTTCACTGAATTATGGCAGAATCTGCTCTCTACAAAATAATGGCATATGAAGGCTAATTCAAGACCGAGGCAATTTGTGTGTGTGTTGATCCTATGACAATAGGCTTTTTTCCCCTTCTGCTCTTCCATCTGGGGTATAGTTGTTGTTCCTCTTGTTCACTGGTGAAACTTTTAAATGTCTGTATACATTGTACAGCTAATTTATGCTCTAGCAAAATTCCATGTGCAATAGGATCCCTGCCAATGGAAGCTTTTACTGCAAGCACTAACCATAAATTCCATGTCCCTTTTGCTAGATTTTACCCCCCTGATAGATCAGACAAATAATCGGTGCAGGTTTTGTTACCCTTGAAAGATGTATGGGCAGCTCATTGCCCTGCCTAGGCCTGCTTAGTCCAGGACACAGACTGTTGGTTTTGCCTTTCTGGTATAACAAATAACCAAGGATTTTCCCATGGCCTGTGTGCTCAGGAAAGGGTACTGGATAAAGTGACTTTTAGCAGTGTAGGCACCTTGGTCTTCTTATGCAGCGCAGTATCAGTGCAGGGTTACATCACAGTGGTTTATTCACCAGCAACTTAATTCAGAACTTCTGATGAAGAGGTCTCTGCAATACTGTATGATAAAAGGTTTAGATCAATTGGCTGCCTTCGCCAATCTTCTCAAATTTTAGCTCCAAAGTCACAATGACTACCTTGCTGCCTAGCATTTCTCTGAAGCAAAGAGCTTCAAACAATGCTCATCTGAACCAGAATCTCCATGACCCAAGGGCACACTTGTGCAGATGGCCTACAATCAAACAAACAACCAAGTCAAGTCGGAGGATATGTCTACACTAGAAATGCTTGTGGCAAAGCTGTAATGTAGACACCTCCTACAGCATCAGAAGGGGTTCTTCTGTTGTAGTAAATCCACCTCTCCAAGAGGCAGTAGCTAGGTTGAGGAAAGAATTCTTCTGTTCAAGAGGTGCCTAGACCAGAGCTTAGATCAGCTTAATTCCATCACGTAGGGGGTGAAATTTTTCACAGCCCTTAGTGAGGTAGTTAAGCCCACCTAACTTGGTAGCATGGACCAGCTCTGAGGAAGCAGTTTACAGTTCTCTTCACGCCCCACCTGTGCTCTGCGTGGGTACTGTACTGACATTGTCATAATCACTCAGTCCCAAGGAAGTCAAATGAAAAGGAATCTTCAGAGAAATCCCCGGCCCCGAGTCATCCCAGTGCATTTTCATCTCTCTCCATTCGACTGTATTTCATGTTCTGCTGCTGTGACTCTCACCCTGCCAAACTGGCTCTCCCAGCACTAGAAAAACCAGTCTCCACAAATGAATCCGCCACAGATGAAATGAGCGGATTGCTGTGTAAACGCAACCGGCAGAAAAACAAAAGAGGGATGGCCAGCCTGGTCCGGATCAGCAACCCACTTCATCCGCGGCCAGCGGGAGAGGCAAGACCCCGCCCCCCGCCCCCGCCAACCGGGCACGACACGTTAAAAAGCCCCTGAAGGGGGTTTTGCACATTCCGCCCCCCGGGGCAGGGTCCGAAGTGCGGGCAGTGGGAGCCCGGATAAAAGGACAGACACCCCCCCCCATCCCCCGTGCTTCTCGCCCCGGGGATCGCTGCTCGCGGCCAGGCTCTGCAGTCGCGGCGGCGGGCAGCGCGGGAGGCTCAGCGGCGGGGCGGGCCTCGCCCACGAAGCCGAACCGCGCAGCACCCTCCCGCCCCGGGGGGCGGCGCCTGGTTGCCCGGCCGACCAACCGCCCAGCCCCCGCGCGCTCGCGTAGGCGGAGCGGGGCCGCCCGGCCGCAACCGTCTCCCGGTCTCCTCCCCGGCAGCCGAGCGGGCGGTGTGCGTGCGCCAGCCCGGCCTCCGCCCTCCGCCATGAGGACGTGCTGCCTCTCCACGGTGGGGGTCCTGTCCGTGACCCTGCTCATCGCCAGCGTCTCCTTGCTGGTGGCCCACGTCCTGCAGCGGGTGGTGGACCTGCGGGTGAAAGAGGTGAGAGTCCCCCGCCCGGAGCCCGCCGGGGCAGGGGGGAGACCTGGTGGCAAGCGCTGCCGTGACCGACCGTGCTGGGCGAGAGACGCCGGCGGCCTCTTCCCCTAGCTCTAAATATAGCGGGGAGAGGCCGGGAATGGCGCTTGATGGCTACCCTGGGGGCCTGGGTAACCTTCGGCGAAGCGTCGCTGGATGCCAGGTAGGGTGGGGAGCGGGGGGGGCCCCGTGAAATCAGGCTCTGGAGGAGACCTCGAGAGGCTGCCCCTGAGCGGCCGTGAGAAAGCTCGAAATAAATGCGTTGAAAATAAAGGCTGGTTGTAAATGTCCTGTTGAGAGGCAGCAAAAAAGCCTATGAGACCGCAAGGGCTGCCTTTGAAACAAAAACAAAAAACATCCTGGATCAATAAGCCCCCTCCCCGGGGAAGCCTAAAAATGTGAGCTGTGTGATTTTAAAACCGTGTAAAATGTCATCAGATGCAAGTAGCTTTCATAACTGTAATTAAGGGACACACTCCAAAGCAGCAGTAAGTAAGTGGCGAAAAGCATATAAAGCTTTAAGTACCTGCTGTCTTACAGTTCATGTTATATAGTCCTGGTGACATTTATCTTAAATAATTCTGCCTTTTTGCTTGCTGATAAATTTCTCTCTGCTTTTCCTGACTTCTGTATGGATCAGTGCTTTATTTGTTGTCAGGCTAGGATATTAATGGTGTGAACCATGGCAAATCATTAAAAAATATTCAGTATTTTTTTAAATCTCATAACAACACATGGCTATCAATTTTTAAAAAAAACATTTAAAATTAATTCCTGGGTGTTATTTATCATAGTTTTTTTTTTTTCTTTTTTAAGCCATTTGTTCTCCCATCTTATCTGCCCTTTGTTTCTGAATGGTTGTTATCCAGAGTTTCTAGCCTGGAGTCAAGATGGGTCAATTCGATTAGCATTAATGGTTACTTTTAAAAAATGTTTATAGTAGGAATCATTATTTACTGACATCAGCCCTAATAGTAAGTGCAAACTCTTCATGCTAATCATTAATAATATTTGGTTATAATACAGTGCTATTCAATTCTAGATCACAAAGCAGGGTGGGTATCATCATCCCCACTTTTCAGATGGGGAAACTGAGGTGCAGAAAGATGAAATGGTTTGGCCATGTCCATACAGCAGTGGCAGAGCAGGGAATAGAAACCAGGTCTTCTGAAGCTCAGACCAGGCTGCCAAGCACTGCGTTGGTACTTTGTGTGTAGACCAGGCCATAGTCTCCTAGCATAAAGGGTTAATGGTGGGGAGGAAGAAGGAGAAAATCTGGCCTTGATCCTGCTAGTCCTTGTGCAGCACACAGCAAGGAGCGCAAAGAGATGTGAAACTGTGAGTGGAGGGTAAGCTTCGGCACAGGTAATGTTTCAAATTTTCAAAAGCACCTAAGTGACTGAGGGTGCACCTAAGTCCCGTTGACTTTCAGTGAGAATTAGGGATATAAGTCACGTAGGAACTTTTGAAAATTATGACTGTATTCCTTTGTACTAAGTAGAAGTTGGTTGCACCACCACTGCATGTATTCTCCCTCTTACCTCAAAGGGTGTGAGGTACAACAGAGCTTGGGATGGAGAATGGGAGTGTCTGCGGCAGACATGGGCTTAGTTGTGATTGTCCACATGCTGGTGAAGCCCTTAGCTACACTCTCTTCTTTGGCCTTACTCCTGTATTAGGTAAGAATAAATTGGTACTGGCTCAATGGTGCTCTCACTAATGGATTGGGTTCCCCTGTGCTTCTCCTGCTCATCGCTTTTTACTTTGTACTTACTATGCAGGGTCAGGTACTCTCTCTATGCTTATCTAATGCACCCCTCATGGTCAGATCCAGGTGCCACATGCACAAACCAAAAAAAAACCCCAAAAGATTTTCCTCGCTATCACTCCATTGACTCTGCTATTTACTTAGTGGGGTTGTTCATACTTTTTTGCATACTAGGGAAAAAGCTTCTGGCTATATGATGTAGTCAGTGATATTTTAGGACATCATGTGCAAACAGATTAATCTTGCATTGCATTTGAAATGTGGCAAGATTTGGGCTTTCCCCCATCCCTGATGGGGAAGTTGCACTATTCAGAGTCTGTGCCAAAATCCCTTAGCTCCAAGTTCTCAAGAGTTTTATTCTGGTCTCCGGCAGCTGCAACAACCCCATCTGCTCACAGCCATTGAAGTAGGTTGCAGAGGGAGAAGCTGTCTTTGTGACAGATAGACCCTAATCCATTGAGGGCCTTACAGCAAAACTGGAATTGCAGCCAGGTATGATGATATGCTATGATGAGCTCTCATCAGTCTGAATTGTGCAGTAGGAGGAATGTCCAGACCTAGAACAGTCACAATTGCTGTAGGTGACGAAGCTGTGGATCACTGGGGGTGATGAAGCTGTGGGTCACTATGGTCAATGCAGATAATAACATGCAGGTGTAGAAGACTGAATGACCAGTTTAAATGTTACTTTAGAAGTGAGTATTCCCAAGAGGATGGGGAAAAATATAACTAGACTTGAGTCAAGGAGTCCTACTCAGGGTGGTTGAAGAAGTTTACTCTGCTGTTCAGTTGTACTCCATCCAGGAGTGTGGGCATCTTGAAAAATCACAATGAAACCTTGCAGGAGGGGAACATAACTATTCCCAGGTGTTACAAGTTCTTTGGATCTTTGGCGCGCCTATGGGGAAACAATGAATATTTAATCCACTAGCATGAATTCTAAGGAAGGCTCAGTGGGGCTTCGCATGGGTACGGGAGTCCACCTGCATGGAATGAGTTGCAGGATCAGGGCCTAAGACATCAGGACCTACAGGAAACAAGAGGTCAGAAATACTGGGAGTCCCCATGGAATTAAAAAAATAACTTCCCAAAACATTTCTAAAATAATGTTTCTGTAATACATGTGGCATAGTCAGAATAGATGACTTGAAATCCTTTTATGAAAAGGACTCTGTAACTCCTGGGTATTACTATGGTTATGATGTAGTGTGCTACAAGGGGTTGATTGTCACTCATTTGACCCAATGGGCCAGATATCCTGTCTCAGGGCTGTATGCCACAGACTCTACATCCTTCATCTCTAGATGTCCACTCCCACCTCCTCTATATCCAGAGATGATAGAAATCCACTTGCTTTGGTGAATCAGCAGAACCCATTTAATTTAGCATTCCTCTGCAGTGAAATCTTTCAGTGGGGGGCAGGGGCTCAGGGGTGTTCCATGCAAACACCGTCAGCCTGTTACAGGCCCTTAACCCTTTGTCCCAGATACTAGTGGGTTTGCCTAACTCCCATTGGTATCAGTGGGAGTTAGGTGCCCAAATACTTTGGAGGATCTGGGCCAGCTTACTTTCCCACTCAGAAATATTGTGGTCATCCCAAGCTCAATCTAACCACTCAAAAATCAAAATGTAAGTGGAAAGAAAACAGAATCTGAGGCTGGAGATCCAGAATGTGTCCAAGAAACAAATGGTATTGATGAAATTAAGACCCTATAAGCACCAACCAAGAATTGGCAGTTCTCCAGGCCTTTCTGCTTTTGAGCTTGTGTGTTTACAATATTTGATATGTTTTCCAGAAAAATAAAAGGAGCGAATGGAGATGTGATCGATTTAGTTGCAAATTATTTCCCCCTCTTCTGCCTCCTGGTGATGTAGCATTGACAATACGGTTTTCTTTGTGCTTTTTCTTAAACAGTTTAACTTAGTGGGTCAGATTTATCCCTGAATTGACTGTAGTGGAGCTGAAACCATTTTCCCCAATATCGATTTATTTTCTCTTTTTATAGCAGGGCTGCATCATTGTTGTAATGTCATTTTCAAAACAAAATGAGCACTTTGGGAATGAGTCTTGTATATCATGTTACTAGAGGACATGTAAAAAGGTGGTATTCTGACCTTGAGCCTGCAATTATAGATGAATTGCTGATACAATAGTTAAGTGATTCTGCAATAACAGGGATTTATGGACATTCTTATATAAACTTCTATAGAATGCAAGATGAGCTGATAGCAGATGGATTTGTGTGCATTTTGTGTTCTCCTTTTTTGTTAGGAAAATCTTTAATGGGGGTGGAAAAGGAACCCAGGCCCAGCCAGGGATTTTGGTAAAACAGCTGTTAAGTCCTGGTCCACGTAAATATGAGGACCAGGAGTAACTTGCAGGATTGGAGCCTGAGACTAAGTGCTCTTGCCAGTCTGACCTAAAATAAATTTCACATGCTGCAGAGTCAAAATGTCACCCCTTTGCTGGAATTGGGTTTATTAGCAAAGAAATTAACAATAACACAAAGCTCAGCTTCTCTCCTAGTTTGAGCACTCCTCGGGTGCCTGCCTCAGGGCTGTTTGCCACAGACTTTACATCCTCCATCTCTACATGTCCACTCCCATCTCCCCTATATTCAGAGGCTAGAAATCCACTTGCCTGGGTGAATCAGCAGAACTCATTTAATTTAGCATTCCCTGGCAGGATCAACATCTCTTGGGGGGGGGGGGGGGTGTTGGTGTTCCATGTAAACACTGCCAGCCTGTTACAGGCCCTTCATCCTTTGTCCCTATTTTTACAAGTGCAATGCAGTCTTCAGAAATTGTTCCAAGTTAGAAAACTAAAGACAAAGGGTTTGAAAAATCCCAATGCAGCTAGCTGTTTCTGTTCCTGCTCCCCCGCCTCCTGCTCCCGTTTGTATGAATTAGAGAACCCAGGACCCCAGGGTGCATACTGGTGGGATCCTGTCAGGTTAAATCTGGTCATTTATAACAGGATAAAGCTTAAAGCACGTCACTACCGTATAACTACATCTGACTTATTATAAGATGACCGTCAAAGATAAACCTCCTGCAGTTTATGTAGATTCTAAGTTGTATTTATATGTATACAGACAGTTACATTCACCTCCGTGCAACACTCTATGCCCTACTTAAGCATAGTGGTCCCAATCCTGATCTTACTGAAGTTAATGCAACAAGGAATTTACAGTCTAAGCCCTTGATTTTCAGAGGGGCTGAGAAATGCCTAAGGGGTTTAGAAGTGTGGAGGGGTGCATTTCACCCAGAATTATAGGGACAGATTCTGATACCCTGACTCTGGTTTAGTAGCATCTTACACTGGAAGAAACCACTTGTGAAATAAGGCCCAGATCTTCAAAGTTATATAGGTGCCTGAATACCTTTGAAGATCCAGGCCTAAATGATGATTCATTGTGAGTAAGGGCATTGCTGTACCTCAGTAGCCAGTATTGGCTGGTATGGACATAGTTCATTGTGCTCTGGCTGGTAGGTCTACATGCCAGGGAATTTAAGACACAAACATTTGAGGGAAATAGAATGAGAATTTCTGGAGCTCTAGGCCCCGTCTTGCAAAGGCTAATGCACACATTTAATTTCAGTGGGGCTACTCGTGCTTAAAGTTAAGCCCATAGAGAAGTATTTGCAGGGCCTCATCAGCCTCAGTCCAAGGGCAACTCACAGGTCCGTTTCTTCTCTTCGTACAGTGAATCTTCACAGAATGCCCAGCAACCATGTGATTTCTTTTTTTTTGTTGTGTAGGGAACAGTATTAAAGAATGGCACAGAAGCCTTTGACCTCTGGGAAGACCCTCCTCCACCAGTCTACATGCAGTTCTACTTTTTTAACGTGACCAATCCTCTAGAAGTGGTCAATGGAGATACCCCTTCTGTGGAAGAAATAGGGCCATACACTTACAGGTAAGTCTATATCACTCACTGTATTTGCAAAAATAAAACTTGGGAGGGTTGGTTGGGGCAACCATGACAGGTTTTTTAGCAAAAAAAACCCTGTTGATATGTTATGTGCTGGAGAGTTTACTCAAGGGAGGAAGGATCTTTTAGTGTCTAAGGCACTGGACTGGGACTTGGGAAACCTGGGTTCAGTTCGTCGCTCAGTTCCAGATTTCCTGTGTATGATTCTGGACAAGTCACATAATCTACCTTGTGCATCAGTTTCCATTTGTAAAATGGAGGTAGTACTGTCCTACCTCTCAGCAGGGTGTTGTGAGGAAAAAATCTGTGCAAGGCAGTGAGATTTTCAGGTATTATGGTGATGAGGGTCATATAAGTACCTATGATAGAATGTGTCTTCACACTGGCTAGAGCAGTGGTCCCCAAACTTTTTCCATTGCACCCCCCTTACCCGTAATGGAACCCGCCCTGCCCCCCCGGATCCGCAGTCGGGAGCCGCAGCCAGGAACGGGTCTGGACCATGGTTGTGAGCCAGGGCCAGGAGCAGGACCGCATTGGGGCCAGAAGTCAAGAGCTGAGGCCAAGGCCGGGGTCACGGCCAGCGCAGAGCTGGAAGCAGAGTGGGGCTGCGTGGTGCTCCCTCCCTGCCCCCTGTGGAGGCTGTTCCAGGCCCCTCTGCACTCCCCTTAACGTTAGTCTGCCCCACAGTTTGGGGACCACTGGGTGAAAGGGAATCAGGCCCCTAGTGTTTGAAGGGATGCTAGAGAATTGAAGGGAGAGCCTAGTTTGTTCATGTTTCACAGCCATATTGGTCTATGCACACGCCTTTCCTACCCATGTTATTTCTCTCCCTCTGCCTTTCTCGTTTCCCACCTCAGCATCCTCGTTCTCTCACTGCCGCTCCTGCTATTCTCTCATCTTCCCTTCTCCTCCCTCCTTATTTCGTCACAGTGGCCAATCTGGTTCCTTCCACATATTCTCCCTCCACTCTTTCTGGCCTCCATCCCATGGCATTGGAAGCTTAGCTCCTACAACACCCATGCTGCTTGGAACCACTGCTGCAGCATCTCTGTGTGAAGTGTTCTGGCAGAGCGTGGCACTTACAACTAATCAGAGGTGCTCTCCTGTGTGTCAGACAGATAAACAGGGCTCCTAGTTTTTGTAGGCCCCTATGTGAAGTGACACAAGCAGAGTCCCCCACCTCATGGTACTCATGACACATCCCTGGGTGCCTCCTTCCTGTCATCCTTCTCAGGCAGTGATTCTTCCCCTCCCCCCTATACCCTTCCCCAACACACATTTGTGAGGCTGCACAAGTTAGAAAGCCAGCAGGTAGAACTGAGTGGAAACCTTCCGAGTGGGGAAAGCGTACTGCGAGAATTCAGTCTTTGCCAAGGCCCACTTGCCCCAGAGTCAGTTGGGATGGAAGACGGAGAATCAGGGATGGGGCTCTGGCTGGTGGATCACGTGTATGAATGTGGAGAAACATAGCATGAATGGCTGGTGTGTAGATCCCTTGGCAAGAGCTGTCCCATGACATGTAATTTTGCAGTCAGCGTGCAGGAGGCAGGCTTGGTGGTGCAGGCTCGGTCTCAGTTACTTGTGTGTGACGTGAGTAAGCCAGGGCTGCATGTTTCAAAGGTCTGTGATTCACTTTCTCTCTCTTTTGTTTGGTTTGCCCTATTTTGATTTGTCTGTACAGGATAGAGTCTGTCTGATACAGAAACACTGGAAGCCGAAGTTCTGTTTTTCCAACAGATTGATTGACATTTCCAGGGCTGTGGGTTGCTGACAGCACCAGCTGTGTTACATAGGGGCCATTGTAGACTGCTGTCCACTGGGACGGAGGAGAAATATCAAGCTCCTTGCTCAGGCCACAAGCCAGCAAAGCACAGAAGTGCATGCTTATCTTTAAACACATGAGTGCTTAAACCATGCTTAAAATGAAGCGTGCGCTTGTGTTTTTTTTTTGGGGGGGGGTAGTGCAGGCTGGCTTGGTAGTGGACATGCTCTGAAATTGGGTGGGGGAAGAACAGTGTTGTGACTGACGTAAACAAGATTGGACAATACTAAAGGGCTATTTATAAACTCGGCATGCTGGACAAATGACGTAGCTTTAAACAAATCATGTTTTTGATCCACAGACTGTAAACTCAGTAAACACCAGGACAGTCAATAGGACTGTTGTAATTGCAGAGATGGGCATAAGCTGCAAAATTCAGATCTATAGCTAGAGCCAAAAATCGTATTAGTGCATGTCTCTCTAGTCACCTGAAGCCGTATTTACTGGTTTTACAGGATGGAGATCAAAAGAGTAATTTATTGTAAAGCACAGCCTGCTCTTCTGTCCAAACTTGCTGAGCTCGGAAACGCTCTTTAATTTTGTCTGGTTGTGCCATATTGAAGATTTTCCTCTTTCATCTTTGAGACTCAACCCTTGGAACCCTAAGGGGTGAGTTTTATTTTCTCCTCCAAGCCTTTTAGGAGTGGGAGATTTCTCAAACTGATTATGGCATAGAAATTGGGAGCCCTCTCCCCTCCAATTCAATTCCTGGCTTCCAGGGGTGATTATTCCGTGATAGTCTGTTACAAAGTCAAATGGGAAGTGTTGCCATCCCAAAATGTTCCCCAATAGTGAGGATGCTGAAATGTGGTGGATCTGTCATTTATAAACATTTGGGGCAGAGGGAATGGCTGGCTTCTAACTGAAATATTTTCCATGGAACATAAGCATCTCTCTGAACAGCTTAGAGGTTGAACCAGTTTCTTGGGGGGGGGGAAAAAATTGAATGCAAATATAGCTGTCTGTTCATATGTGTGGATTAGAATGCTCTGAAGATTCTTGTATGCACTGTTCTTGTACCTGTATTGCTCCCAGGATACTGGAGAGACAAAGAGGGTGAGGTAATATCTTCTATTGGACCAACTTCTGTTGGTGAGAGAGACGAGCTTATACAGAGCTCTTCTTGACCTGAACAAGAGCTCTAAGCTTGAAAGCTGGTCTCTCTGCAACAGATGTTGGTCCAATAAAAAATGACATCACCCACCTTATCTTTCTGAAGATTCTTGTGCAGTTGGCATAGAACATGGGAGTTGAAATGTATGAAATACAGCATTGATTATGTTTGCTCAGGAAGCAACCCTTGAAAAAGGCAGCATATGATCCTTGTAACTCAGGAGCTGGTGTGGAGTTAGTGAGATGTAACCATATTCTTACACAGCTATAAAGAAATGCTGGCAAAGCATATAACATGACATTTATATCTGTCTCTTTTGCTTTTGTTTTGGAACAGTTCTAGGCACAGTTAATTTGGAAATTGGGCAAGCCAGCTCTGCAGAACTTAGTATATATTATTTGTGAAATGGTGGCTGTTAAAGTTTGTACGAGGGTGGGGCATACACGTCGAAGTCATTGAAAACTGGAATTCTGATCAGATCAGCTGGCAGAATTCCACCCCTTATGCGTTAGGCTTGTTTATGAGCAATCCTGGGACATCAGCTGCTTGGGATGGTAAACAGTATTATAGAGGTGAAATCCTGGCCCCACTGAAGTCATTGGAAAAAATCCAGTGGCTTTCAGTGGGGCCGGTGTTTCACCTGGCGTATTCAAGAACCTAGGGTGAAATTCATCCCTGTGCAGAGAGCAGCATAAGGCCTGTTCCAGTCTTGTCTCACAGAAACCCATAGGACCTGATCTAAAGTGCACTGGCATCAATGGAAAGACTCCCCTGTTGGTGTCAATTGGCCTTGGATCCGGGCGATGAGGCTTAAGTGGGGCATACACCTTGCACTGGCCTTCTGCATAGGAGGAGTGAATTCTTCCCACAGTGAAGAGGCAAAACTATAGTTTTCAATCCGTATTTCATGTGCAGAACCTTAGATTGGGCCTTTAAATCCTTTTGTGTTGTCTTGGGCTATAATCTTTCTTTCCATTGTCATTTATAAAGCAAAAAAGTAAACTTCACTAGACTGCATTAAGAACATTGGTGGGTGAACAGGATTTTAAAAAGTGCTTAGCATTGACCTAACTCTGCCCCTTTTGGATCCAAAGGGATCCAAACTTCAGTGAGAGCAGAGTGAGACCGGTGCTGAGTGCTTATGAAAATCCCACCCTTTCTCTTTATGCACTTAAAGCAGGAGTTCTGTAGCCATAATAAATATTATTTGTACCACTGCAAATTTCCTTAAGACCCAAATTTTCTGTCTCCCAGAGAGTACAGGCCAAGAGTGAATGTTCATATTTTGGACAATGGCACCAGAGTCTCTTCTGTGAACCCAAAGACCTATGTATTTGAACGAGAGAAGTCTGTTGGAGACCCTGAAGTTGATCTGATCAGGACAGTAAATATTCCTGCAGTGGTGAGTTCTGTTGTATATGTGGCTGGAATACTACTAACAAGTGGCTACTACTGACATATGGCTACAACTTGTACTTATATGCATGGTATTTCTCATCTTCAAAGCGTGTTAATTGCCAACTCATTTCTTCTTATGACAACTTCTTGGGATAGGTAAGAATTATCCCCATTAACGGACAGGGACTTGGCGACCGAGAGGTTAAAAGGCCATCAAGGCAGACCGTGTCAGAACAGAGATTGGAAATCAGGCATTTCTGGATCCTAACCCTGTGGTCAGACCACTGGACCATACCACTCTCAGTCCTTTCATAGGCTCTGTCTCATTTTAAAGGATGCATTACCCCATTTTAAAAAAAAGAAAACTTGATCTCTGAACTCCTCAGATACTTTTAAATGAACTGAGCCTGATTCTCCGTCACCCTACACTTTGTGTAGTCATGTCCACCAGTTCAAATACGTGTAAAATGATCCCAGATCACAGTAGTAGCGTTTTACACCCCCTTTGCACTGACATAATTGACTGCACAAGGTGCTGGGTAGCAGAATCGGGTCCACTGTCTGATTCTGTTCTTCAGCTCTTGGCTATGCCCATAAAGGCAGGACTTATACTAAAGAAATATGCAAAAGCCAGATACAGTGGTTAATATTTTAATGGTTTTTTGACTAAAGGTTGTGTTACAAAAATATTGTCTCTTGTCTTTGTGACAGATAGGGCAATTTCCTGTAATATCTTTGAAAGACCTTATTTTATTACGTGTATGTATAAATGTGGGCTGGGATTGTGTATAAATTGCCTCTCTGAGGAAGAGGTGTGGCAGATGCAAGACCTGGGAATACCAGAGATTACTGAAAATGTGCCAGACAAGTATGGACTTTAGGGACAATAAGTGTTAAGTGGATTTCCTGGGGAATCCATAGGAAGAGGTTAATGCAGATCCTCTGCTCCAGTTAGGCAAAACCACAGCCTTTTAAGCTATGCCCTGAGCAGAGGGTCATTGTCTGCTGATTGCCTGTTATGGAAGGCCAAGATCAAAGGCCCAAGCTGTATAAAGAAGCGGCTGATCAGCCCAGTCTCAGTTGTAGTTCTGGATTTAAAACAAATGAACTTGTAATCACAGGGAAAACCCAGGTGTAGGTTTTGACCAGAGCTCTAGGTTGGATCAGGACCTCTGCTAAGCTTTTTAGCATGCATGTAGGTTCTTTTATGGTTTTAATGTTTTGTCTGTAATACTTTTACCTTAAGAATAAACGTGCTTGCTTAGAAGGAGCAGTGTGGTAACTTACAATACTCTGGTCATAGCCCTTGGAGAGAAAGCTAAGTGCAGGTGCTGGCCTGTTTAGGCAGTCTGGCTTGCTGGGGTATCACAGTGTAAGGTAGGGAGCTATGCAGCCTGGAAAACCCCACCAGGTTAAAGATGGAAACAAACCTCTAGAGACAGAATATGCAGAGAGCCTGAATTTATAATTTGTTTGCAGTGTTGTAACCATGTCAGTCCCAGGACATTAGAGAGACAAGGTGGGTGAAGTAATATCTTTTACTGGATCAACTTCTGTACACCTAGTGCTGTCTACACCAAGGATTAGGTCGGTGTAAGTGCATTGCTCAGGGGTGTGGCTTTTTCACATCCCTGAGCTATGTAATTATACTGACCTAATTTCCTAGTGTAGACATGCTTTTTAGCTTAGGCGTGGTCTCTCTCATCAGCCTAAGTCAGTCCAATAAGAGATATTACCTCACCCACCTTGTCTCTAATATCCTGGGACCAACACAGGTACAACAACACTGCAAACAACAAATGATAAGTTGTGGCTCCCAGCTTGATTAGGCACCAGCTCCATCTTGTGGCTTTCTGCAGAGCCATATTCAAAGGTTTGTTTCAATCTTTAACCTGGTGGGCTACGTTCTGAAGACGAGGCTGTGTTGCACACCTAGAACTGTTCAGTGTGCACATAAGGGGGTGCTCACTTGCAGCGTAGGTACCTGAACATGTAATGCGTGACAAATTTGTTAATGAAACAGTGTCATGGCTAGCTTCTCTTAGCTGAAACCAGCCATCACAGATCTTTGGGGTTCTCTCTCTAAAACAATTTATACTGTGTGAGTGTGCTATCCAATCCCTATTTTGTGCGGTCCTAGTGTGCATACTCAGGCAAAAAGTCCTATTGACCTCAATAGTAGTTTTGCAAAGTCAAGCATTTTTTCAATGTCAGCTACTTAAGACAAAGGGTGCCCTCTCCCTGACCCACCTGCGATAGATTGAACAGAGTGGCATGTGATCTAAAAATAGCACTTTTAGACTAAACCATACTACTAATAATCCCTGGTAACTCAATCACTTTTTATTTTTTGTTCAGTTTGCGGTTAAGAAGCTGGGTAAAAGCAAATTATATGGGTGAGGGGTTGACATAAAAAGTTTTTATTGTTAAAAATAAGATTTGAGGGTTTTGAAGTTTTCTCCTTTTTTATGTAAAAATCCATTATTTTATGTGGAAGCTGATCATTTCTCCAAAAAGCTTAAACCAAACAACCCTCAAGTGAGTTCATTTGCACTTCCAGCTGGACTTTCAGCTCATGTGCCAGAATGTAACTTCATTAGATTGGACACTAATTCACAATACAGGGAACTTGGGTGACTGCTAGCAGCAGAAGCTCAGGCAGCAGTATTGTTGTGGTGGAGTTGGATGCTCAATGATTAGGGCCCTACCAAATTCACAGTCCATTATGGTCAATTTCACAGCCATAGGATTTGAAAATTGGTAAATTTCATGTTTTCAGATGTTTAAATCTGAAATTTCACAATGTTGTAACCATGGGGGTCTGACCCAAAAGGGGATTGTGGGCGGGTCGCAAACTTGTAGGGAGGTCATGGGATTGCCACCCTCACTTCTGTGCTGCCTTCCGAGCTGGATTCGGAAGGCAGCAACCGCAGAACTTCCTGCAGCCTCAGGAGGTTCCCGGAGCTGGAGGAGAGGTCTGATCTCCCTTTTCCCCCTTCCCCACGAGCAGCTGTGCAGGGGATGGACAAGTCCTGTGCTTCCTCAGCTGGGGCACTCCCAGCAACGCAGGGAAGATCAGACCCAGCTCCACAAGTCTCCTCCAGCTGCAGGAACCTCTGAGGCTGCTGCCCAGTCCCAGAGCATCCTGCAGCAGACAGAGGTGGATCTGGTCTCTTTTTTCCCCCACCAAGTATCTGTACAGGGGATGGATAGTCCTGTCCCTCCCCAGCCTAGCCGGAGCTAGGAGCCCCCTTTGCTGAGATGCTTCTCGGAACAAGGGGACATCGGATTTCATGGGGAAGGGCTTATTTCACAGTCCGTGATGCATTTTTCAGTGCCATGAAATTGGTAGGGCCCTATCAATGATCATCTGAAGACACTGATACGTCAGTGTAAAACATACTGCCGCAGAGCTTCAGTGTAGACACTCATCACAGCGACAGGCAGGGTTCTCCCATTGCTGTAGTTAACCCACCTCCCTGAGAGACAGTAGCTAGGTCGGCGGAAGAATTCTTCTATCAACCTAGAGATGTCTACCCGGGGGGTTAGGCTGGCTTAACTACATCACTCAGGGGTGTGGATTTTTTCATAACTTTTCAGCGTTGACCAGCCCAGAGCCTTTCGTTTAGAAGCTGGCTATCTGATGGCCAGCACTGAATATCTGAGCTACTGGCTAGTGAGTGGCACAACGTTATTTGTCAACTGCACAAGTAAGAGTGCAGCTCCTCATGTGGTGAAACATCTTAAAATTTGGGCTTGGGAGGAGTTTAACTCTAAGAATGAGAATTGGATTTGGAAAGGTAGAAATTGCATTGTTGTGGAGTATTTTTAGCCATAAAAACATAGTCTCTCATAACACTGAATGTGCAGTGTTGTAGTTGTGTTGGTCCCAGGATATTAGAGAGACAAGATGGGTGAAGTAATATTTTTTTATTGGACCAATTTCTGTTGGTGAAAAGGGCAAGCTTCCTACGGTCCACAGCGCCAAACCAGAAGTGCTCTGTGTAAGGTCAAAAGCTTGCCTCTCTTACCAACAGAAGTTGGTCCAATAGAAAAATATTACCTCACCCACCTTCTAATAACTTTGAGTAATAGTTGCAAAGAGAAATAAAACGACAGGTTTATTACTATTTCTAACACTCAGCATTGCAGTCTGAGTCTGATCTGCAAACCCACTGCAGTAATCTCATTGACTTGGATCATGTGGGGCACTCACTTCGTTTTGCAGCTGTATCAAGCATGGTAGAAGTAGGTTCTTGTATGCCTGGCTACATAACTGTGGTCTAATGAAGGCTCTGTAAAAAGTTAATTTAATTTGTGGTTGCAACCAATGCAGTTGTTTCCCCTGTGTCTCCTTGCTACCACATGAGTGCTTTTAAACATTACCTCTTCTTAATGCTATCAGCTATGATAGATTGCCAGAAGTAATACTGCAAAGACTATAGCTAAGCTTGGAGGAAGGATAAGTATTTTATTGGCAAAGTGTCAATTTACCATACTCACAGAATCCAGCTTAAAAGGACTGCTGCTTATTGAGCATCCCCTCCCGACCAGGGGTGTCTGGAGGCTCCCCGCCTCTGGCTTTTTTTTCTCTTCCAGGTTCTCTGTGTATGTGGAAAAGAGCTTCTTCGCCTGGGTCGAGGGACTTGCATTAGAAGGGCATGTCCTAATGCTCTAAAATTAGCTGTGTTACAGCACTGGGAGGCTCGCTTCCGCAGGCTGTCTAGACCAGGGGTGGGCAAACATTTTGGCCCTGAGGGCCACATCTGGGTATGGAAATTGTATGGCAGGCCATGAATGCTCACAAACTTGGGAGTTGGTGTGTGGGAGGGGGTGAGGGCTCCAGCTGGGGGTGGGGGCTTTGGGGTGGGGCCAGAAATGAGGAGTTCAGGGTGCTCCGGGCTGGGACCGAAGGGTTCAGAGGGGGATCAGGGCTGGGGCAGGGGGTTGGGGCATGGGAGAGGGTCAGGGGTGCAGGATCCAGGCAGCGCTTACCTCAAGCAGCAGAGGCTCAGCCAGGTGGCTCTGTGTGCTGTCCTATCCGCAGGCGTCTCCCCTACAACTCCCATTGGCTGCAGTTCCCGGCCAATGGGAGCTGTGGGGGTAGGGCTTGGGGCAGGGGCAGCGTGCCCCTACAGGTAGGAGCCGGAGGGGGGACATGCTGCTGCTGCTTCCAGGAGCCGTGTGGAGTGGAGCAAGACCCCGACTCCGCTCCCTGGCTGGAGCTCGAGGGCCGGATTAAAATGTCTGGAGGACTGGATGCAGCCCCCGGGCCGTAGTTTGCCCACCCCTGATCTAGACATAGCCTCTGTGAGTTCTTAAAGGGTTTCTGTGGTTAACAGTACCCCTGCCTGTGGTAGCTTAATACCAGAACTAGTTTACAACACCCCAGAGTCCCAAACTAAAGCGCATACCAACAACACTAAGAAAAAGTCCATACTTAGCTCTGGTATTTTTCTCTCACCCCTCAGGGCTCTTCTGTCCGAGTCTGATCTCCTAGCTCTCCCTCACTGGGGCTCTGACTTCCAGACCCAAACAGAGTCAGGGTTTCCGGCTCCCTCGCCCAACAGCCCTGTCACACCCCAGCCTCCTGCACACTGGGCTTTACTCTCCAAGTTCCCTGGTGTCGTGATCCTGCAGGAGCCTTTTTTCCCCTGCAGTGTCTACTGACATTGCGACAGCTCTTTGGGCTTCCCCTTTTACTTTATAGGGAATTGCCCTATTCCCCTCAGTAGGACTCATTCCATAATCAGGGTTGGCTTAGCCCTATGCTCTCCAGATTGTGGGGCAAGCCACCCTCTTACCCCAACGAAAACTATTTCCATCGATAATAACCAAAATGTACAGCTAGGCAAAGTAAGGGAAACGCTGCGTGAGAATGTATTGGAGTTTGATTTGAGGATCTTTGACATGCGATGTAAAGCTTTAACTTTTAGAATCTCAGTGCCTGCTGTCGTTCAGTAGTTATGGTCTGATCATGCTCACAAGTTCCCACAACTGTGAAAATTTAAATTGATAAAAATTGAAGAAAATGCTTGAAAATAACCACTGACATTACCTGTCAAAATGATTAAAATAAAAATCAAATTCTGCCAAGCCTAACTCTAGCCTGGTCCACACAGGGGTCGTTCCTGTTAGTGCATTTAAATGCAGCTCTTGCAAGCATGGTTTCTCTGACCTGGATGAACTAAGGTTTCTTTTTCTGAGGACAATGGTACAAAAACCCTATTGTGGACTACCTAGGGAAGTAGTTTCTTGCGCTGTTTGACTAACACTGTTCCCTGAAAAGAATCCCTGCCCACACCTATCTGGGAAATCAGGCTAGAAACTCGCTGGGAACAACCAGGTTTCCATTCTGTTGCTGATAGCATGATTTTGATGCCATAAGTAATCATTAGTCCTGCCACGAGTGCAGGGGACTGGACTAGATGACTTCTCGAGGTCCCTTCCAGTTCTGTGAGTATTTGATTTGTACCAATCTGTTATGTCAGTTTTGTTCTTTTTTTTCACCTATCTGTTTAACTTAATTTCTTCTATTGAGCTGTAGAAAGTGCAATGTACCACAGGTTACAGGAAAAATAAATTCCATTCCGTTCAGCATATGCTGTCTTCACGGAGTAGGTGATGCAGCCAGTCCATGCATTTTGGAGAAGTGGCCACCTTTTATAGAATTTAATCAGCATTAGGTTTCACAACTCTGAGCCAAATCTTTTTTTAAACTAAATTTCAAACTCTTCTCTGGGTAATAGGCTTCTGTGCTTCAGCAAACCCCCTCTGTTTAGCAAAACATTTTTGCATGTACTTTGGTTTAATGCCTCAGAGCCACAACATCTTGAAACGTAAAATTCAGTCACTCAGGCCAATAGATTACTGGGCTTAAGGACCATCTCGATTCAGCAAATCACTTAGACACATGTTTAACTTGATGTACATTCTTAAGGAGATGCTTAACTTAATGGAATGAAACTTAAGTGCTTTACTGAATAGGAATGGATTTAAGCAAGTGTTTAAATGTTTAGCTGAATTGGGGCCTATGAAAGCATATATTGATACGAACATATCAGAAGAATCCCAGTGACCAGTAAATTACCTGATATCATTAAGTCATAAGGTTGAAAATATGCTTCATGCCTGTACCCTGTTCTGATGCTTATGTGTGTATAAGTACATTTTATTTTAATACTGTATCAACTTGTTCTTGATTCCTCTCTCATATCAGACTGCAATGGAATGGACCAAATCAACTTCTCTACGGCTACCCACAGAGATTCTCCTAATATTATACCAAGAAAACTTGTTTATGACACACACTGTCCACGAATTACTATGGGGCTACAAAGACAAACTTTTGTCAACCCTTCATATGCTTCATCCTAAGATTGATTCAGAGTTTGGCTTATTTAATAAGGTAACTTGTCGAGATTGCAGAGTTTCCTTAGTCAGATGTGGACCGTATCACTGTTGCTCGTGCCTTACTCCCCCATAACGCACTGTTTGTGGGACTAGCCTTGAAAACCACTGGGAAAATTCAGCTGAGACTGAATGTGGCTGCCCACTTAATAGCATTTCATTGCAGGAAATATCATAATATAAATATCTGGGCCCTAGAGAGACTGTATTGGCTGCCAGTTTGTTTCTGGTTGCAATTCAGGGTGTTGATTCAGTCTCTAAAGTTCTTTATGGCTTGAGTCATAGATATCTTGGATACCCTTTCTCTCTCTCCTTGAAATCATCTGGAATACTTAGGTTGATGGTCCCTCTCTGTCAACAATTAGCTTGCAGCCCCCAGCAGAGTCCAACGCATGGTAACAGGGCGACACAACAGTAGACACCTTCCACCCTGTTCTAGTGCATCAGCCAGCTGCCCTAGGGAGTGACTGGTCCCGCACTGTGCAGATGAACTCTTCTGTGTTTCTAGATGAATGGAACGGATGACGGTGAATATGTTGTTCTCAGTGGGAAAATGAACTACCGTAACTTCTCGAAGATCGTGGAGTGGAGAGGAAAAGAGTAAGTTGTCAAACCGGACGGTGTGAAACGTCTCCCTTCCTTTGAGACCTTTCAGTCAGCAGAGACAGCGCCTTTCATTTCTGACATTTTTACAAAGAAGCCAGTTTAGTGGCAGGCTCTCTACACACCACAAATCCCACAGCAAGCTCACCTTTGCCTGCAGAGGACAGAGGCAGGCAGAATGTGCTGAGGGAGCAAAACACCTTTACATGGGTGCCGCATCCACTCCCTCCACCATTGCCCACAGGCCACCAGCTAGTGCCAAAATGAGGCTGGGTTGTGGCCATGCCCCCACACAGACATATTGCACCCTCTTTGAGGCATGTCATTACTGCTGGCATTTCAGATGCTACAGGGATGGAAGCAGTATAAGTATCTAGGTGGATAGATAGGGAGAGAGAGAAACACTCCCACAACTTGCAGTTGCTCAGGAGAATCCCCAGGATTTTAATAGCTGCCTGCATGAGCAAACCCACACCCTGGGCAGCCAGAAGTGGGAGGGGTGGATGTTGGAGCTGATTCAGTTTTAGTGAGTGTAACTTCTCAGCAAACAGGACTGTTTCTATCACAAAAGGAGAGTTTAACAATTGGACCAAGTCCATTCTGTCTGGGCATTTGTCTTCCCTGGGAGAAAGGTGAGTTTTTAAACGTGTTAAGCTGTCCTGTGTTCAGCTAGCGCATGTTACAGTCCTAGTAAAGAGGGAGAAGTTGTAGTTTTAACCAGTGTTATTTGGCCAAGGTACATAGGTTAAAACTGCAATTGCCTCATCGTCACTAGAATTGTAGCAGGGATTAGTTAAACAAATCATCTTAGGTTATGTCTTCACTGCGCAAAATTTGTCCATTGGTGCAGTTGTTGTAAAATCCTAGTGGAGACAAGGCTCTATAGTTTTGACTGTGATGTAGCTAGGCCAGGTCAACTGCAGGTGGGGACCCCCCAAGGGCTTTCTTACTTGGTTAGCATGCATGGGTTTAGTTTGTGATCCTTTTGGTCTTTTGGCTTGATGTCAAAACTCCTACTGAAAAACTGGAGACTATAACTACAAACTCCATATAGGAACGGACGTATTTCTCTGCATACTGATTTTACAGAATCAGCCTGAACTTTAAAACTATTGCCAATTAACTGCTACATCATATTCACTGAGCATTTAGCAGTATTGTAGGCTACTACTTAGTTTTCCCTTTGATTTTATTACGTATACAATAAATATTAAGGGTGGTGGAGCTTGCGTTAATGCATTCAAGCTGAAGATTCGCTCCATGTGTTTCCTGCTAGTCAACATCCATCCGTGTACTCGTGCAAATTTCTATCATACAAATGACATTTATCTTTATTTGGAGTGAACATACTTGGATCCTGCTTCCATTTGCTGTTTGCCTCTATTAAATTTTCTTGTTAGTTGCTGTTTTCTGGTGGCTTTCACACAAAGGGGTAGATTAAGAATTTAAGGACAGCCATACTGAGTCAGACCAAAGGTCCATCAAACCCAGTATCCTGTCCTCTGACAGCAGCCAATGGCAGGTGCCCCAAAGGGAATCATCAAGTGATCCATGCCCTGTCACCCAATCCCAGCTTCTGGCAAACAGAGGCTAGGGCCACCATTCCTGATCATCCTGGCTAATAGCCATTGATGGACCTATCCTCCCATGAATCTATCTAGCTCCCTTTTGAACCCATTATAGTACTGGCCTTCACAACACCCTCTGGGAAAGAGTTCCAGAGGTTGACAGTGTGTTGCATGAAAAAACACTTTCTTGTTTGTTTTTAAACCTGCTACCTATTAATTTCATTTGATGGCCCCTTGTTCTTGTATTATGAGAAGAAGTAAATAACACTTCCTTATTTACTTTCTCTATACCACTCATAATTTTATAGACCTCTATCATATCCCCCTTTAGTCACCTCTTTTCCAAGTTGAAAAGTCCCAGTCTAACTAATCTCTCCTCATACAGAAGCCATTCTATACCCCTAATCCTTTTTGTTGCCCTTTTCTGAACCTTTTCCAATTCCAAGATATCTTTTTTTGAGATGGAGCAACCACATCTGCACACAGTATTCAAGGTGTGGGCGTACCATGGATTTATATAGAGGCAATATGATATTTTCTCTCATCATTAAGAAAGGGATAGATTCCCAACATTCTGTTCACTTTTTTGACTGTTGCTGCACATTGTGGATAGTTCTCTGAAATCATCCACTCAATGACTCCAAGATCTTTCTTGAGTGGTAGCAGCTAATTTAGACCCCATCATTGTATGTGTATAGTTAAGATTATGTTTTGCAATGTGTTACTTTGCATTTATCAACATTAAATTTCATCTGCTATTTTGTTGCTCAGTCACCCAGATTGTGACTTTGGATACAGTAGTTAGCAAGGGGTGGTGCATAAAACTGCCCCACCCAGGAGACATTGCGTCTCCGCTGAGTTACAGTCATCCCCTGCTTCCTTGCTCCTGGGGATAGCTCCCCACACCCTGCAGTTGGTCGGCTACTCTGGGTATCAAGTAGTGGGGTGGAGCCTCTAAGGCAAGGCTTGGACCATTCCCCACTGTTCCCAGCAAGTAGCCTTGCCTACTCCTCTGCATCCAGACCCAAGGTTTGGGGAGCCTGTTGTTGGCACCAGGGGGCTACAACCCCTGAATGGATTTTTAATGGCTCCCAGTGGAGCAGATTACCGTCGTATCAATTAAAAAGGTCCACAGTAATTATCTTGCATACACATCAGTTTATTTGAGAGAGAATTGCACAAGCGGTAAAGGGTTACATTTAAGTACATAACTCCTATGTTAGACATTAAAGAACTATACAATAAGAGCTATACATTCCTCTTAGCGAGCCTCTCTTTCACAAACATACCCAAACAGGCCCTGTGCTAGTCTCACACAGTTCCTGCTTGGCAAACAGAGGGGGTGGTTACCAATTCTATGGATGACTTCTTCCCTCCAGGTCTGGTCTCCTCAGCCCTCTAGTCTGTCTCGGATTCCCTCAAGGCCAGGCCTCGGCTGCATGGAAACCCCTCTGGTCACAGTCCTACTTGAGCCCACGGAGCAGAGTTTTGGCTACTCGGTCTAGCAGCTTCTTCAAGCGTCGGTTAAGGAATTCCCCAACAGTAGTTTAATTTGCTTGATTTTTATAGTCTTTCCTCAAAGGGGTCACATGTCTTAAAAGCGTGCCCAGTGGGCGTGTGGTTACTAATTTCTACCTGGTTATTACTTTCGGAGGAGACTGCAGAGCGGTGCCAACTGAACATTACCCCACATTCACTCCCTTATCAATCCATTCACTTCAGCCCCCTGCGTGATGTCCTCCAACAGGGTCGAGATGCCCCGGTCAGCCCGTGCTTCACTCAGGACATTCCACACATGTTGTTTGCTTTCAAGTGGACATATTTGCTGACCCAAAGATCAGTATTGATCCTACACGCAGCATGGAGCCAGTCAGTTTCACCTCTGGCATCTGCCTGATGCGAAGAGAAGGATTCTGCTCCCAGAATCCTCTTTTGAAGTTCACTCATGTCAAGCCATGTTCTCACACCATTCATTCAGTACGGCCATACCAATTGGGCACCATCCCAACACCTGTCTAGAGGCAGAAGGGGGTTCGAACACACTTGCTTGACATGTGGTCTGGCTCGTAAACAAGCCCAAAGTGAATAACCCAAAACGCTGTGCTGCTAATTAAAATGTTTGCCAGCAACTTCTTGCTTGGGAGCCAGATTCTCAGTTACACTACGGCCCCAATGTAAAGGGGATGTAAGTGTAATTTATGTGCATTTTCAGCCCCCTATACACTGCCAGAGCTATTTCCATTGCGCTATGGGTAGGTCTGCACTGCAATCAGAGGTCTGATTAAAGCGCAGGTAGACACGGTTGCACTAGCTTTAGCTAGCACAGCTAAAAATAGCAGTGAAGTCACAATGGCGTAGACCCCAGTCTGGGTTGTACAAGTCCACCCAGAAACCTGGGTGTGTATTCACTTTCCTAGTCTGCGCTGAAGCCTGTGCCACCGTGTCTTCAGTGCTATAGCCATGCACCGTTACCCAGCTACAGTCAACCTCTGACTGCAGTGTAGACATGCTTTCAGTGTGAATGAGAGTCAGGCCATCACGGTCCTTCCCACACCAACCAAGCGGTATTAACTCCCCATTGCTCAATAATTCTTTGGCTCTTTTGTTCCCTCTCTCTGCTTCTTTTACTGCAGGTCACTTAACTGGTGGACTACAGAGTCATGTAATATGATCAATGGGACAGATGGAAGTGCTTTCCACCCATTGATAAGCACAGATGAAACAATTTATGTCTTTTCTTCTGATTTCTGCAGGTAAGGAGAATAATTCCAAACGTAACATATCAAACTGTTCACACTGGATCCTTCTGAGATTTCAAATCTTTTTCCCTAATGTTATGTTTTACAAGCTCTATTCCTTAAGTACATTTGTCCTTCATTAGGTTTCAGAGTAGCAGCTGCGTTAGTCTGTATTCGCAAAAAGAAAAGGAGTACTTGTGGCACCTTAGAGACTAACCAATTTATGTGAGCTGTAGCTCACGAAAGCTTATGCTCAAATAAATTGGTTAGTCTCTAAGGTGCCACAAGTACTCCTTTTCTTTTTGTCCTTTATTAATTCACTCTAACAAGTAGGAGTGAGTTAACCCCTAAAAACCAAGTCACATCTGGTTAAAAATGAACTATTTGTGACAAAAGTAAAATGAAAATTTGAGTTAAATCCTGAAATATTTGCTGAATTCCTTCCCTCAGCAGGATGAGAGGAGACAGCACAAGCATGCTAAACAGACCTTATTTAAAACTTCTTTCCCTCTGTGAAATCCTCTCGCACTTCCTAGTTTAGTAAAGACATTCCAGAATGCATCATTCCATGACATCACTTCCACCATGAGACACATGCACACATACACAAGTAATGGGATATGGAAGAGCCTGGGATTTTTTTCTCTTGTCATTCTACCTAGTATCCTGCTTCCTCCTAGGTTTCTCTGCCATTTGAAAACAAAATTGACATGCCATTTACTCTTTAAATCAGGAAAATAACCCCCATTTGATGAATCCAGGCAATGTTGGGGGTTCAAGAATTGCCCTCTTTGGGACCTGCTGGTACTGTCTCCCCCATCCATTCTTTTCATTGTCACTTTTGTGGTTGTGAGATCTGTGGCTTAAACAGCTGCAGCACCACTGAAATCTTATGACTGAAAAGATAATCCTGAGGACTTGAGAAACCCTTCTGAGGCCAGGCATCTGTGCCCCAGACCTCCATTTTTTTTTAAAAAGGCTCACCCTTTTCGTGCAACACCACAAGAAGGCGTATAGGACCTGATCCAGAGCTCATTGAAATTAGTGGAAAGGCTTCTGTTGATTTCAGTGGGCTTTGGAGCAGGCCTGTAGCTTACTGTAAATCCAAATGGACCTGCAGATGCCACTTTGAAGGCTGTACAGCATAGGCTAGTAAGTCCTTGTGACTATAAATTCAGATTCTTGCTTTTCTTCCCCACAGATCTCTGTATATAACTTTTGATAGCTTTGTGAGTGTGTCTGGAATCCCTGCCTATCGGTTTGTGCCCCCTGAAAAGGTCTTTGCCAATACGTCAGTGAACCCGGACAATGCGGGATTCTGTGTGCCAGCAGGAAACTGCCACGGCTCAGGGGTCCTGAATGTCAGCATCTGCAAGCAAGGTATGTATCCAGGGAGTGTGGGAAATGCTTCTGGGGCAGCACATTTTCACGTTTAACTGAACCACGTTGGGGCAATTGGCTCGATCCTGTGGGGTACTGAGCACTCTCAATTCTACATGAAGTCATGAGAAGCTGAGAGAGTCCAGCATCTTGCCAAATCAAGCCCAGTATCACCCGTTATTATTAAAAGGCTACAGGAGTGAAGAAAACGGATCTTAAATAGCATTCCTGAAAGATGTCATCTGCTCAAGCTCTAGTTTTACATCATATGAAGACTGGAGTCAGAAGCACATCCTAGGAGTGGGACTGTAAAGTTAAAAGCAGTCACAGCCAGCTGTGCTCTACACAACAGAGTCACTTCTTAGTAGGCAAAATTCACTACTGGGGCCTATACACCACTTGAGCCTGGTGCATAGGCCTCATGCTGGCTGGCTGTACTGGGTGAATTTCCCCTCCATGAAGATGGGGCATGTCCATGAAGATGGGGCACCTCTGCCCAGATGACCCCTTATGGCCTCAAGGCAGCCCTGCCAGCAGCTCCTCACCTCCGGTTCCCCTTTTGGTTCCTCAGTATGGTTCCTCAGTAAACTCAAAAGAAAGCTGTTGTTGGATTTGTAAAAGCCTTCCTCAGGGTCTGGTTTATTAACTTACATTTCAAAAACTGAACACAAGAGCCTTGCCTCCACCATTAAACTGGGCACAGCCCCAAACTCCTCTGGTGTTCAGGGTCTTCCCTGCTTTGGCAAGCTACTCCCAGCCCTTCCTAGCTGGAGCTGAGCCTTTCAGGCTCTGGCTTCCAGGCCCCAACCTTTCTCCCAGTTAGGGGCTCCTGCATTATTAACTTCACAACACATTCAAAATATAGTTTTCAAGTCCATCCATTTTCCCAGGCCGTTCCTTGCCTGTTGCCTCACTCATCCAGCTTCAGTTTCTCTGCTAAAGCCGAGTTGCTCGCAGCCACTTCTGTTCTCCTTGAGAACACCTGCTGCAGGGCCAGGTGTTTCCTGCTCAGGTATGCCTCCTTGCTAATCAGGGTGGGCTGGCCTAGGGCAAGCTCTACTTTGGTAAATGTCACTTCCCCAGTCAGCGTGTGAAAGTTGTGTTCTGTGCTGTCTCAGTGCTTCATTGGCATGACATTTGTAATCACACCTCTTTAGAAAGTCCTTAGACCCTGTCAGTGTTGGGAATACAATAGTCCTAGTAGAATCGCTTTTAATCAGTGCAGTGAAAGTGCTCACGTACTTAAAGTTACACAGGTGCCTAAGTGGCCAGACTGTAACATGATCGACACCTCAGAAGTGCAGTGTGCTCACAGCATGGATGACACAAAGGGCTAGATCGGGGTGGCCAACCTGAGCCTGAGAAGGAGCCAGAATTTACCAATGTACATTGCCAAGGAGCCACCGTAATACGTTCCCCAGCAGCCGCACATCCACTAACCCCCCCCCCCCGCGCCTCCTGCCCACTGGCAGCCTCGCCAAGCAGCACCTCCCCCTCCCTCTCCACACCACCCACCCGCTGCAGTCAGCTGTTTTGCAGTGCGCAGGAGGCTCTGGTGGGGATGGGGGAGGAGCAAGGGCATGGCAGGCTCGGGGGAAGGGGTGGAGTGGTGGCAGGACCTGGGGCAGAGCAGGGGGGTTGAGCAGTAAGCACCCCACAGCACATTGGAAAGTTAGCATCTGTAGCTCCAGCCCCGGAGTCAGCGCCTATGCAAGGAGCCGCATATTAACCTCTGAAGAGGCTCATGCAGCTCCGGAGCCACAAGTTGGCCACCCCTGGGCTAAATCCTCAGCTAGTGTCAATCAGCGTAACTCTCTTGGCTTCAGTGGGACTACCTGTGTGCCCAAGTGCTTTGCTGGATGAGGGCCTAACCCTCGGGAGAGAATCAAACTACATGTGATAGATGTTAGTCACATTGCTTAATGCCCTGCTGGAAGGCACTTGATGGCTGAAGTGATGAGAGTGTAAGAACCTAGATAGTATACACCAGAACTAGGTTGGAATCTGTTTGTTTGGACCATAAGACTAATAAATAACAATACCCAGCTCTTACATAGCACTTTGCATCAGTGGATCTCTTAGCACTTACAAGGAGCTTGTACATTAACCCCATTTTATATATGGGGAACTGGGGCAGGGAGAGATGAAGTGATTTGCCCAAGCTCAGCCAGCAGGGCCAGAAATAGAACCAAGGTCTCCTGCGTTCCAGTTCAGTGCCTTATCTACCAGGCCATGTTGCCTTCTGTAAAATGCTTCCAGTGAAGTGAATGGGCCCCAGCAGAAACCAGTTTTCTTCAGTTATTTATTACTGGATTCTGGGAATTTTTGTTAGCGGTGATGTTGTATTGAAAGTTGTTTCATGGTGTGTGCGCAGTATCTTATTTCTGTTCCTGGCCACACTGATTGGCTGGCTGGGTGGGGATCTGATGCATTGTTCTCTTTAGAAAATAGTGACTTCGCTGTTTTAAAATTCCAGGGGTCCCCATCCTTTTATCAGCCCCACATTTTTACCAAGCAGCTGAGCAGTATATTAAGGACATACAGGGCATGCATCCCAGGAAGGAGGATCATGAAACATTTCTGGACATCAATCCTGTAAGTATGTGCTTCCCTTTGAAATGACTTGCAGGGAATCTGATTCTCCCTCCACTAGATAAAGTGAATAAATGAAGGCAGCCACCTCCGGGTAGCAATCTGCCCCACAGTGAAATAGGGGCATTACACGATACCAGACCCCGGAGAGAGACAACCAAGCTCTATGCAGAAAAGCAATACAAGAGCCTCAGTATTGATATGTGCACTTAGTGTTGCTTTTGTAAAGCCAAGACTTCACCAAAGATATGGGCTTGTAGAATACACTCCCTAGGCAGGGAAGGAAGGAAGATGCTAAGGCCTGATCCAGCTCCCATTGACTCAGAATTGAGTCCTTAAACCTTGAGTCCTTAAACCTTATTCCCTTAGGCATCCAGTTTGTGATGTCATGAATGTGATGGCTTAGATAATGGCAGGCCAGAGGGTTTCACAGTGTTTATTCTGGCTTCTTCCCTGGTCAGCAATCTTCTCTCTAAGCCCTGTTCACTAGCCCTCTCCACCTCTTCAGCAGTAGCCTGGTTCATATGATGAACCCCAAGACTGACCTTCCTCCAGAGAAGGAAGGCAGGGAGACACCCCCCAGCAAGACCTCTTCAGAAAGGCACTTCCCACTCCAAGCCCCAGGACCAGTCTGTTCCAAATTCCACAGCTCTCAGTACCAGAAAGGATCAGTTTGCTGCTAGCGATATCTCAAGCTTTCCCACCAACCCACCCACGCTAGGCAGCCTCCTCAAGGACAGGTTTTGACAGGAAGTTTTCCCTTTGTGTGGGACGGGATTTCTTTTTGCCTGAGAAGGGTGGAGATTGTTTCCATGCAGCTGGTGATTTCCATCATAGCCACTTGATAGCATTCCAAGAAAACCCCCTCCCTCTTCACTTGGCTCTCTTCCTTCTCACTTCCTGGCTCATAGAGCGACAAGCAGTCCGCGGGCTCCAGCTTTTGTCTCACGTTCACCAAAGCCATCGCCCAGTTTCCCCTGAGAAAGTGAAATCTTCTGTCTACTTCAGGGCCAAAAAATCAGGAGACTGGAGACCAATCTTGAGCCTCAAGAGGCTAAATCCATTCAGACTGCCCCAAAAGTTCAAGATGGAGGCTCTGCATTCATCCCTGGATGTCAATAAGCCCAGGTAGTTGCTGGCCTTGGTCAAAGAGCCATTAGCTGGGTTTACAGCTATTTTGCATCTCAGGGGAGTCACAAGGTAGCTGGGATTTGACCGCTGAATCTGGCACAGCATTTGTATTATTACTGTACCTATTGATCCATGGCTTTAAAAATTTACTCTTCTGTAAATCCACACAACAGCGCAGTGGCCTGGAAGTGAAAATGTGAAGACATACAGTGGAGAACAGAACGAGGGGAAAGAATAAAGGAATGACCAACATAATGATAGGGGGAAACAGTAATCTGACTCAGGATGCAGCGAGGTACAATTTCCTTCTGCTTCAGCAAGGGCAGCTCCTTTCTGAGCACTAGTGCACATGCTGTTTGGAATCCAAACTCTTGGTGCCAGCAGGTTCCTGATTGCCCAATCCCTTCTTACACAATTCTTTCTCAATGTGGGATTGACAGTCATATGAACTAACCGCTGCCCCGCCAAATAAATTAAAGCTAAATTTTACCACTTCTAAACTTAAAAAATCTCCTTCCTCCAACATGCCAGACATTGCAGCATTTATGATGCTGTTGGTTGATTATTATTATTATTGCAACTCGCAGAAGACTATTTTGCACGGATCTTCTCAGTGGCAGTGCAGCCAGATTCATCACTCTATCTTGGGCTTTAGTAGCAATTTGTTTTATGGTTAAGGCACAAGGGCTCTGGGTTCAATTCCCAGCTCCTCCACAGACTTCCTGTGTGACTTTGGCCCTATCAATTTAACCTTTCAGTGGTTCAGTTCTCCATCTGTAAAATGGGGCTAATAGCACTTCCTTCCTTCCACCCTTTGCCTTTCTTATCTGTTTACATTGGGACAGAGACTGTCTCTTAACTGTGTGTTTGTACTATGCCTTACAGAATGGTGCCCCAAGCTCAGTTGGAGCTTCTAGGGACCCCATTAGTACACAGACTCTCAGGCTCTATAGTAATGAGGGTCATCTAAGTATCTGGATGGATGGATACAAATAAAAATAGTCCCCTTGCATGCATCTACCTAATTCTCCTGTAAAGAGACAGGAAACCCATCCAGTTCCATCTTAACTAGTAGATGTGGTGTTTTGCCATCTTAACAACTCCTTCCCACTGTAAAAATTGGGCTGAAATCATACTTTTTAAAAAAAAATCCAAATTTTTTTACTCTAAAAGTTTCCCTTTCTTTCACAGCTGACTGGGATAGTTGTACAAGCAGCCAAGAGAATGCAGATCAATGTTCTTGTCAGAAAACTAGAGGGATTTATGTAAGTATTCGCCTCTAGCAGTGGGGATTTCAGGGTTGCTTGCCTGACTTTGTATTTGAGGTGACTTTGTCTGCAGAGTCCTTGGAGGAAATATTATTTGTAGAGAGAGTTCGATCCAATAGAATCTTACCTAGAAAATGGCAGGGTAGTTCCTTCTTCTTGTTTCACATTCATAGTGGCAATTTGTAGTTTTTTCAACAACCTGAAAACTCAGGTGTGAGCTGTCACAAGCTACGGCCCTGCTATGTTTTCTGAACATATCTTTCAAACTGCGAAAGCCTAAATGTGAAACACACTATGTGACAGAACCAAAACGTATTGGTGGCATGATTTCTGTGAAGTCAATAAAATAGATTCACACTGACTGAGGATCTGGCTGACTGTCCTTATCTTAGTTATAAGAGAGACACTATCACAGGAATGCACGTGTACCCACACACAGCCATGATTTCTGCCACCGCAAATGCCAAACACAGTCCCAGCTGGTGAGGCCAGATTGGTGTCCGAGTGGTAGCAGGAGCTAGTTAAAAACTTTACAGGAACTCCCATTCACTTTCAACTTGACACGTCAAAGTTCCCACACAAGTCTGTATGTACAAGGCACTTGAAAAATATATAAAGGTGGCATCTTATCTGCCCAGATCCCTTTTGGGGGACTGGATCCTAACATATCATTTCCTTATATCTACTGTACTGTACTTTCTAGTGGTTATGAGATCTCTCATTGAAATACCTTCTATCCCAGTATTGCTGGCACTATTAACATAACTCCACTCTAATACCAGGCATCACTTTAGCTGGTGTGCGTCTCTTATAACAGCATATGTATATTTCACAAATACATATAGCCTTCAACAACCACTCCGGTTGGTGTTGCCATTCCCTGGCTCAAACTTTCCATGAGGTCAGCTATTAATAAGCTTCTCCTGGATTGCGCGCCCCCCCCCCAGTCACTCCCCAGGAAACCCCAGTATATTTTATTGCTTTAAAAACAAAGACTACATTCCAGTTTCTAGATCTTGATCCCTATCCTAATATAGGGGAGGGGAAGGTTAAAAGTTTAAATAAAGATAAGAAGGGTCTGGAGTTTTCACATGGGAAAGTTTTCCCCCTTGATTGCTGTGTTCTAATCTGTCTGGAGAAAGCTGAAACCATTGCAGAATCTGAATGCTTTGCTGTCTTTTTACACAGTGAAACAGGCAGTGTCAGAACATTGGTTTTCCCCGTGGTGCATGTAAATGAGGTAAATATTGTAAATGGTCTCCATTGCAGTGTGTGCCTGTCTAGAAAGATGATACCACTGGGCCTGCAAAAAAGTGGGGAATGTGTCATGTTTCTCCTAATTTTACACTAGCAGGGGGGTAGGAAATAGTTCTTTGTATAAAATTTCTGGTTGATCTTTGTCCTAGGTCCCAGTCCTGCAAACTCCCCTTCACGTGGGTACTCCTATTGACTTCAATGATATCTTTCATGGGCGTAAGAGCGACTGAGGGGGAAGAAGTTTGATGGATCAGGCCTTTAGTTTGTCAGACTTCCAGGGAGGTTTCTTCACTGAAGATGGGTCCCTGAATTCCTTGGATTTGTGATAGTCTTTGTAAAGTCCCCTTTATCTCTAGGAAGGAGCTTTATCTCCCAGAGGATCTTCATTGTGGCCTGCAGCCATGTCCCTTCATGCTCTGAACCTGAGGTCTCACAAATTAATGCCCAGTCCTGCATATAGTTAAAGCTGGGAGTAGTGCTTTCTGTTGTGAGTCCCATTGACTTCAGTGAGAACTCCTGGCAGCAAGCATGCCACCTGGCAACAACAGTTTGCAGGATCAGACTGTGAGTAAGGTCAAGCGAGGTCAGTACTTGAATGGGAGACCTCCAAGAACATCTTAGCTATCGCAGGGAGTGTGCTGGTGATTCATGAACCATTCCCTCTGGGGGGTGCTCGAGAGAAAGCACCTTCCCTCTGAAAATCCAGCCCTTTTTAAGGTGTCCCACAGTTGTGCACACAAAATCATCAGTCACTTTTGAAAATGCAGACCAGTGTATCCCTATAGCTTCTAAACTAGAGCTAGCAGTTCTAGTCCATGGAAAGGCATATCAAACAGTCGTCATGGCAGAGGGGATGCCGCTGTTTCCTCTTATGCTTATTCTAAATAAGAGAGAGGTATTGAAATGTATCATTTTATTCTTTCTCAATGCTCCCTGCTCCTCCAGAGTGTTCTGATTGACGAAGCATCTGCCAAAAAACTGAGGAGTGTTCTGTTTGAAGCCACAGTTGTAACCAGCATCCCCTTCATAATCATGGCATTAGGAATTATTTTGGGGATTTGTTTCATTGTGCTTGTATGCAGGCCCCCTGGAACAAAGGAAGAGGTTAGTAGCATCTGAAGTTGACCTTTCTTTCTCAGTGTTTATCTGTGTTTTATTTGCCTCTCATTGACTTTTACCTTTTGGGTTCCCACAACATTTTTGCTTTTTGTTTTTGTTGCAAATGCTCTTTCCAGGTTAGAGAAGTGTTAATAGACCCAGAGTAAGTGCACCCAAGCAAAGCTATGCAGCCAGTTTGATACGTGGTAAGGTGGGTGAATATAAATATTTTTTGTTCTTAATTCCTTTGCTAGCTACAAACACTAGTTGTAAAAATAAGCCTGTCTAGTGAACTCTGAAGGGTAAGATCCAAAAAACCCACATATTTGACATTTTGAGCCCTGTTCAATTTGACAGTTGCCTTTTGAGGAAAAAGTATTAAATTGATTTTCAGGTTCTCTTGTAATACTTTGGGCTGGTTCTTCCCAAAGGCCCAGTGTTCTTCCCAAACTAACAGCCCAATTCTGGACACCCAGAAACTACAAACGAATTCAGATTCTTATCCCAGCTTTGCCACTTGAGCCATTCAACAATACTGTCCCCCTCAGAGAACTGAAAATCACTCCATAATGCACAACCTTAACTTTGATCTTACCATATTTAATCCTTCAATGGCAATTATAATCTTACAACCTGAGCATCTCCACATGTCAGTATACTTCATACAAAGACGATACAAAGTGGATCAACTCCTCCAAATTCCTTCTCAAATGCACAAACTTATGCTGTAAATGCACATTATGACTTTAAAAAAAAAAAAACCACAGTACCATACACAGATAATAGTGTTCCATATGGGTATTCTGATCTGTTATATTAAAAAATTGGCATTAAGGTTGTCAATGCTGTCAAAGATTGTGAGCCAAAACTTCACCCTACTTCAGCAGTCCCGTATGGATGCTAAACTATGGACATCTTTGTGATCCGAGACAGGGTACCCTAGTAGGCTTTTTCCACTTCTAGCTGCTGTTGCTCTAGGACAGTCTTGCTTTTTGTGTATTTTGCTTTCTAAACAGGTTCTTGCAACTGCATGAAAAAGCACACGCGTCCTGAATTCAGACCCAAACCGTGCATGTGCTGTTTCTCAGTTTGTGAGGACCTGGGCATGCTTATTAGTTAGCCTTGTGATGGTTTGTTTTGTGGTAAGACCTCAAGAGAGAGACCTGTGTCATCTTTCTGCAGCCTGACAGACTTTCCTCAAATGTTGACTGCTCCCACTTGGAAACTTTTGCTTCATTCTTGCACCCTGCTCAGCCTTTTGGCAATGGATGTTTTAACGACTCTGGTCCTGGTTCCTTTATGGGAGAGGCGGATCCTGTTTCTCCTGAGCACCTGAGTTTTTTCCCTTCCCTGTCTGGTTGGCAGGCTCCGCCTGAGAGGCTAGCAGCAGGCCTATGGGCTCCAGCCAAGGCCTCATCCCAACCCCAGCAAGATCAGTCACAGCCACGTTTCTCAGGCTTTCCTTGGCACCAGAGAAGGAACAAAAAACAGTGGAAAGTTTGAATTTCATGTTTCTCAGAGACTATGCTCTTTCCTGCAAACAGTGAAATCGGTGATGGCCATGAAAATCCTACAGCCCAAGTTATACCCTCGTGTATTGCACCAGTTCTTTTCCCTCCCTCATGTTTATGGCCTTAAACTATTTGTAGACTATTACCATACTGCTGACCTCACTCCTCAATTGTCATTTAGCAAAGCTCAATATATTTAACTCTTTAAATCTTTCCTCTAAATCTGTCTCTCCCGCCCCGTATCATTTTTGTTGTTCCTCTCTGAACTCCCTCCAGTCTGTCATTAACATTCTAGGTGCCCAGAAGTGTGCACATACCTTCCAGAGGTGGTTCCAGCCACATGCAGAGGAGCTCTCACCTCCCTGCTCTGTGACCCAATATTTTTGCAGACGCAGCCCAAGATGGGCCTTTAATTTTGCAGTCGTATTACCCTGCCCTCTGTCGCCCATAAGTCTCCAGCATTACTGCTTCCCAGGATTCTCCATCCCTTTGAGTGTGATTATTTTTCCCAAGATGCATTATCTTGCATTTTTCCAAGATTTCCTGCCTTTGACCCTGCCCCTCCATAGGTCCCTTTTAATGATCTCTGTCCCTACTGGCGCAGATAACTCCTCCCAGTGTAATCTCGTCAATATGCTGTTCATGTCGCCTTCCAGCATCATCATGGAGGATGTTAAATAAGCCCTGCCCTAACACTGATCCTTGTGTCACCCCCTAAACATCTCTAAGGAATGCAGACAGCATGTGCCTGCTGCACATTCCCTAGGATGATGCAGCACGCTCCCCTCTTCATGGCTGGTCAGCAACGCTTGCCCATGCAGAGAAGAGGGGGGCGTGCCCTTTTCTCCTCTCCAGCCCCTTTGGGGCAGCTTTCCCAATGGGAGCCCTATGAGGAACAATCCATGTGCTCACAGTAGAGCATATGCTGCGGTTGTGCTGGTCCTGGCATAGGGTGAGCAAAATTGGGGTGGCTTCTTGCATCATCCCGCTTGAATATCTATGTAAAGACCACGCACAATCTGCCCTGTGGTGCTTTTTTACCTTAATAGTTGTTCCTGTATGGCACAAGGGATGGAATTTGGACTTAGGGGGTGATAAAAACCAGGATCACTCTTCTTTGGTGCTTTGAAACTCAGTCTTACATTTGCTGTCCTCCAGCTCCACATTGGCTACACACTGCAGTTAACTTTTCTGCTTTGCCATTTTGTATTTCAGAGTACTGAAGAGGAAAGGGCTCCGCTCATCAGGACATCCTAATATTCTTTTTTCCCCCTTCCCATGTGAGCTTGGTGAATAAACTATGCAAGTTGATCTAATACCGAATACTACCCGGCACACAGCGCTGCCTGAAAACCCACCATGCTAATTATGATTATTTGTAGTACAGGGATAAAAAAAGCTAAAATGCTAATGAATGAGGAAACTGTTCTTCTCAGCTGCTAAGTAAGTTTTAAAGCCAGATATTAAAATGACTTGAGATCCTGCTTTATTAACTAGTGTTTAATATTCCCAGTGCTGTTGAAAGCCATAAAAGCTCAGAACCACTATATCAGTGAGAGTATAATACCCTGATTCATGTATTAGAATTACGTGGGGTAAACTTTGTAAAAGGACCATAATAATGTGGGCTCCTAAGTCCCTTTTGAAAATGGAACTTAGGCATGTTTGAAAATATTGCTCTGGGTCTAATTTTGTCTTTTGTGTAGAGCACACTTGGCTTCTTATTAACATGAACATGTTAATAAGAATAACATGGATTGTTTTAGTAGTTACCCATCATGCCTTTTATCTCCAAAATTGTTTTGTGAATCTAAGCCAAATTGTAAGTGAGGCCTATTTAGTCATATCTAGTTTTCAGTTAAGGAGCCAAGTGCTTCATAGCACATTTTCGTACAGCACCTTGATCTGCCCAGTATTGTTTGAAATCCCATTGTGTGGTATTAATAAAATGCCTGGCAAGTTTTTAACTTTTAATTATTTTTTACACTGGAAAACACAGGGTTGGTTAGCTGAGGGTACAATAGAGCGTTCTCCTTTTTCCTGTGTCAGTGTCTCACAAAATATCTAGTTTGTGGAGCACTGTAAAGGCAGACGTTGCAAGTGCATTTGTAATTGCATTCAACGTTTAGGAAATCTACAGACCTTCTGTGTTGAGGCATGTTTGGAACATTAAGGAAAGCAGCATAAACGGGTTTTTTTTTAAATACTGGTAGTTTAAAATATAAGGGTACCTTTTTTCCCTCAGTGAGGAAGAGCATTCTCACAAACATATTTCCATCGAATAGTCAGTGAAAAATTGAGACCTACTTTTTTGACTGGCTGAACACTCATGCATAGGGTGTTAGCCTATCAATTGTTCAGCAATCCAGAACATTTTGGGGTGTCCCAGTCAGAAAAGTTCATTATTATCACTATTATTATTTATTATCTGTATTACTGTAGCACCTAGGAGCCCTAGTCCTGGACCAGAGCCCCATTGTGCTATGGTCTATAGATTGGTACCAATTACAGAAGGCTAGAGATACTGGCATTGCACCAGGCTGACTTCTTTAGCCGACAGGCTCCTCTTATGCAAGCCAGAACCAACCAAATAAGCATCCAAATTCAGGCATCTGCCGCACTGCAGATAAGGGCTCTTGTACGTAATGGAGCTCCCAACCCGTTGTGATCTGCAAGAGTGTTCCCAGTGAGTGAGAGACTCAGACCAGCCAACTACAGCCATTCATCTCAAGGGATTTGCTCTGCAGTAATGTCTCCATTTAACCTCATGAGAGGAAACTGTCCAGCCTCTGATTTGCCAGGATGAAAGTAATGCCATGTGAAAACCCTTGTGGGTAAGGGGGTTTGGAACTCCGCCTTACCTTTACCCCAAATGTTGTTCTTTGGGAGGGGATAATCTTCCTTTGCCACATATGTAGATTCCAGTTGTAGATACCTCCTCCCCATCACCCCACTCTTTGAGTCCCAGGACCCCTTTATTTCTTTCCTTGGCTGACCTCTGGAATAAACCTGCCAGCTAAGGCAAATCCCAATAGCTTTGGCCCAGGGTCCCTCTTAAATTCTTTCTTGTATTTGGAAGGGGGCAGCTACAGAATGCCCAGTGCTGTTGGTGAAAGGCTACATCCCTCTCAGATTAAGTGCCAGCCTTCCTTAGCTGGGGAAACTGAGTCAGTAGCTGCAAAGCCTGTGTTCTGTTTGTGGACCATTTGCTTCTTGCAGTACATTATGCTAAATCAGGAACTCCACATCACCTTTCTGTCTCAGTCTTTATGTTGTACAGTTCAGATCATTGTATGATCCACATTGAAATATAGCACCTTGTGTAAAAGTTATCTGTGCACAACAGTAGTAACCTACAAATCATCTACAAAGCCTCAGGTATTTTCTGAGGAAGTCATTTTGACAAGGCCTCACAGGGTGAAATTCATGCTAGCGCAGAGGACCAGCAGAGGGACTACACACTGCTTAACCCTGCTGCAAAATACCAATCCTCATGCCACTGTCCAGATCAAGTATTCGTGGACTCAGCTGAGAAGTCAGGAACAGGTTTTGTCCCAAGGTCTCAACTGATATGCAGGATCCTCTGCACTGGGGAGAATTTAATCCCAACATATCAATTTTAAAATGTTTACATTCTGCTTATTGGGTCAGATCCTCAGCTGATGTAAATCAGTGGAGTGCCATCAAAGTCAGTGATGCTATGTCAATTTACACCTATTCAGGATCTGGCTCATTATTCCTTTCCATTTATTTATTTAGCTGAACTCTTCAAATGTCTGAATTACTGTGTCTAGATGTTTATGCATATATGGTACCGCAGATTAAGCTGCTGCTTGGTTTTGTTACTTCATTGCTCCAACGTTTCCATTCTCTGCCTTGCCCTGAAGAATTTTCCCCCCAAGGAACATTTATTTCTTAAATCTCCACTAGACCATAGGGAAAAGGTCTTATTTGTTTAATATACAGGAAAGGTGGTTATTTTAATAAACGTTTCCACTTTATTTTTTTGCATGCTCCTGCTGTTACATTCATTCCTGTACAGCTGTCCTGTTTAGCAGCACCTTCTAATTTCCAATGTGCAGCTGGAAATCTGTTAAATATCATGCAAAGTGACTTTCATCAGGTTTTAAAACACATGCATGTCAGTTAGCGGTGAGCATTGTGGGCAAAATGCCAACAAAATCATTCAGTTGTACCTTATAGACACAGGCTTTTAGTCTACAGAACATCTAATTCTTCCTGGAACTTCTCAGCTTCTAACTCACATGTACGAAATATAGTATGCTCTGTATTATGAGCAGGATGTTCCAAAGCGTTCAGCCATGGCCTAACACTGCTCCCACTGAAGTCAATGGGAGCAGGCTTAGGTCAACACCAAACACATTTTAAAATCCCATATGTTAGATACAAATAGACGCATAGATATTAAGCAGTTTGGAGAAGGGTGTGTGCATTTCTATGTAAGGCAAGAGCAAAAATGTCTACAGAGTTAAAAGCGAAAACCCCATTCAAGCAGGATGCATGATACAATTTTAGAGTTTTATTTCCTTTTAGTTTTGTGAAACCAGTACATTGCAGTTTGATGCCTCTTAATGGAGCATTTCACTCCCTCTCTCAATCCAACACCTACAAAAGTCAAATATATCTGTGGGAGAGCCATTTTATTGGATGCCAGACCTTCCAGCTGTGTTTTATAAAGGGTTACTACCAGTATTTAAAAAAAGACGTTTATTCTGCTTTCCTTTAATGTTCCAAACATACCTCAACACAGAAGGTCTGTAGATTTCCTAAATGTTTAATGCAATTACAAATACAGTATATTTGATATGCAGGGGCAGTTATCCTTGACAGGCCTTTGCATTGTTTCTTTGTAAACTGTGCCCTGGGTACCTTAAAAATCCAGAATCCCATTTGTTCATCTTTCTCAGCTGTTAACATTTAAAGAAACACTACAAAGAATATCATTCTCCTCTGGATGCCCACATGCAACTCACAATAGCAGCTAATTAACACTGAAAGGCAGCACAGTCTAGTGATTAGAGCCCAAGGCTGGTTGTCAGGACATCAGAGTTGTAATCTGTAGGGTTATTAACATTTACCTATATATATATATATATATATATATACACACACACCCCCCGTCAGAGGTGTTGTGGGGATGAATTTATATTTGTAAAGTGCCATGGTCTTGATTCTTCAAAGGACAGCTTACTTCACTGTAAGTCAGACACTCAGCACCTTGCAGGTGTGCTAAGATCACTGTATGATAGTTCCTTATATACCTGTTATTAATAAGAATTACTTGTGCCTGAATCAAGGGAAGATTTTCCATCTATAATCCTTCTGTTCAGCTGTTCTGTAAAGCATTGTTTGTTCCACACAGTGGAAGTGATTCCATGCAGCATTGGCTACTTTTTTAATTATTGAAGACTCACGGGAGATAATTGTCAACTGTTGTTTGTTGATGGATTTTGTATTTGTTTTCCTGAGGCTGATGGTTAAAGAGGAAAAAGAAAAGGAGTACTAGTGGCACCTTAGAGACTAACCAATTTATTTGAGCATAGGCTTTCGTGAGCTACAGCTCACTTCATTCAATGAAGTGAGCTGTAGCTCACGAAAGCCTATGCTCAAATAAATTGGTTAGTCTCTAAGGTGCCACTAGTACTCCTTTTCTTTTTGCGACTACAGACTAACACGGCTGCTGAAACCTGTTAAAGAGGAGACACTCATAGCGATGATCAGTATGTTTGCACAGGTGATTCACTTTGTGATTCTAGCAATTTTTGTTTCCACTATTAATGCAGATCAGGTGTTGCATTAATAAAAGTTAATGTTTCTATAAAAAGTGTGATGAACTTGGTATTTTCTTTCACTATACAACTTCTTTGTTTATATCTGTGTATATCTGGTGCCTTTTGAAATAAAACAGTTCATAGCCAAAATTTTCAAACCTAGTTCTTGGCTCTGAAATCCATATTCAGGCACCTAAAAAAGTGACCTTATTTTGAAAAGTGCTGAGCATCCAGCAGCTCCCACTGAGTAGTGGACACTCATCACTTTTAAAAGTCAGGACACTGATTTAGGTGCCTGAATATGGATTTAGGAACCTAACCATAGGCACCTGAGGGGGATTGTTACCGGAATGTTCAGCATTGGTCCAACTCCGCTCTCTTTTTGAAGTCAAAATGGCCCCTAACCAATGTTCCCTCTAATTTTTGACAGGCTGTGTAAGCAAAAAATTGCTTCTGTGCAAATTTTTGTGCATGTGATGTTTCGCCGTGTGCATGGGGTTTAGGATCTGTGTGCACATGCGCACAGCTTAGGGGGAACCAGTGCCCCTAACTCTAATGGGAGAAGGGTTGGGATGGCACTGAAAGAGAAAAGTAAAGCTGCTTGTATCTCAGTGGAACATGGCTGTGAGACATTTATTACACCCAGAGAGTTGGGATTGTAAAATAAGGATTATGTAAATTTCCAGGGAGGTGCTATGATTTAGAATATTGATAGCTTTGCTGATAGTTTCTCACTATTTTGTTCCATAGAGAGGCAGATTCACAAAGAGCAATACAGTGAGTTGGATGTCTGTAGTTAGTAGGAACCACCAGAAAGTGTCCACTGATTTTGGGTGCCTCGTTATTTGGTACCCAACTTGAGATGCCCAGGGTCCCCATTTCAAAGATACTGAGCCCCTACCATTCCGGTTGATCTCAATGGGGCTGGGAATGCTTGGCACCTCTGAAAAGTAGGCTGTAAGTGGCTCAAGCTGGGTACCCAAAAATTGGGGGTACTCAAATTAGTGGACACTTGTGAAAATGTTGACTTTCCTCTGCTCTTTACTGAGTTATGGCTACACACTGGTGACTTGGGATGCTGTGTAGAAGGGAGTGAACCCCACTTCTCCCCCAGCACCTGTATAGCTGGAGCATATATTCCAGTGAGGCCTAATAAGTGTGTGGAGCAGTGTGTGGGATCTGGGGCTAGAAGACAAATAAGAAATTGCCCTCATCTCATGCCTTTCTTTGAAAAACAGAGTAAATACCTTCTGAATATAGGACTCCAGAGAAGTCTGTACCATTTTCTGCCAAGGAGTGGGTGAAAAATAATAGCCATTTTGTTTGGAGAACTATTTCAACTGCAAGATAATTTTTAGGGAGTTACCAAGGACCTGATTTATTTTCCTTGAGGACCCAAACCTCATCTTCTGTTCAGGAGCTGTGGATACTCAAGGAAAGGAGGATCAGGCCCCAAATGATGACCTATTTGGAGTGGAAATTTCAGTAGAAAAGGTACAGTAAGTTTCCAGTATAGATTTGACCATGGGCCTGATTCCCCTCTTTGGTAGAGTCTGGTGACAGTGAATGGAGGGCCTAGCCCAATGGCTCAGATTATGATGGGTTAAGCTGGGGTGACCCTAGTGACTTCAACAGGGTTGCTCTGATGTAAAAGTGAAATTTGGCCCATTGTCTTTTACCTGGCCTCATGGGAGAGGTGTTAATCTAGGGCTAGGTAAAAATTATTTTATCCACTTGTGACCGTGTTGCAGTTTTCTTTTTAACGGCCGAGCATCCAAAGGCGTGTCTGTGGAAGGCAGTAACCTTGCTGGCTCCCTTGCAGTTTTAAATCTGTAACTCCCATCACCTGTCAGAGTGCAATGACTGAGCACGAAGCTGATTGAAAAGCAAGGGCCAGGTGGCTGTCAGGGGCGGGCTGGGGGTCTTTGTATAACATGCAGTGGGACGGCATGGGGGAACTGTCCTGCAGGCGAGGAGTCGCCCACCAGCCCCCTATGCCCTGCGGGGAAGCGGGCTCGTGTTCACCCCACGCACCCATTGACATCAGTGGAAGCTAGGTGCCTGTGCTCCTTTGGGGATCTGGGCCCAGCTCCCCCACGCTGGCAGCACAGCCAGCAATGGAACCCTGGTGTCCTGGCTCCAGCCCACTGCTCTAACCACTCTGCCACAAGAAAGGGCACCTCCCCCTCCTAGGCCGCATGGTAAAGCCCTGAGTCGGTGATTTCCGCCCTCCCCCCTCCATTAGCCTGATTGGTATGTTCCACAACAAATGTTCTCTCTCCGCCTTCCCCCTCAGTCCCAGCTCTGATACTGAGAGGCGCGCGACACCCATACGTCACCGCTAAATCGTAACAGAGCGCCAGACCGCCCCCTCCCCTCCCCGCCGTGCCACGTGATCCACCCATCTGTTGTAGGGGCTGGTCGTGCGTGTGGGTGACGAACTAGCGAATTTGATTACGTCATCATTCAGCGCCACCCTCTCGCGTTCAGGCGCGGGTTGCCGGGGCTGTTAATGTTTCCGGGAGCGGGGCCATCACCCGGAACCGTTCCCCTTGGGGTGACCGTTCCCAGCCGGACCCGGCGGCGGCTGCACTCCGCCAACCGCGCCGCCTCATGGCCTTCAACTTCGGGGCAGCCGCCGGCGCCGCCGCCGCGAACCCGACAGGTGCGCGCGGGGCGGCCGGGGCGCGGAGACCGGCTGCAAGGGGGGTGGCGGGGCAGTGGGTGTGTCCGCTCCGTGCCTCCCTCCCCCCATGCCGCTCGCCCTAGCAACCGGAGCGGGGGGGCGGTGCGCCTCCCCCCCCCCCCGCCTTGCCAGCGCCGGGACGGGTTGGAACGGGGGGGGCGGTGTCTGGTCGGGATGGG